CTTGTAGTCTGTAGAGCGAGCCTTCTTGCTCTCTACATAGCAGAGTTCCATCGACTCTGGACCTACGCTGTCATATCGTCTCTGTGTACGATATGATGTCGAGCTGGCACGAGCCTGTCTCAGACTGAAGTCTTCCTGTTCCGCAATGGAAATGGCTTGTTCTAGTGAATCTAGTTCAAGTCGAAACAGGTGAGTCTTGACGGGACCATCCGCAAGACCCTGCATGAACACCGAAATCAACGTGTGTTCACCCCCCGGGGTGGAAACTCTACAAACTCGTGAGATGTCGTATATGTTGCGCGTAAGCGTGCACATCACGCTTACCTTGTTTGAGCTTCAAGAGTTCAGTTCGAGCTCTGAACTCAGTTTTAGGCGGTCCAAACGTTTGTCTGAGCAGCGACTTGAAGACTTCTAACGACCCAAACGCATATGGGTCGTGCAACTTGAGTCCCAAAGCCCAAGTCTTGGCACGTTCTGTCGGATTTGATTGGGCAAATGCAACTTGCATTTCCACGTCGTCGATGCGACGCGCCCTTATGGCGTCGTCTAATTCGACGAACCATCTCAAGAGGGAGTCCTCTTCGACTCCTCTATACTTGGAGATGTCAATCTTCAAGGTCTCGGGTCGACGCGAGTGCATCAACCCACCAGCAGCAGCCTGCTGCTGTCTCAACAGTTCAAACTGTTGAGCACCCTGTTCTCTCAACAACTCTGCTTGTTGAGAACCTTGTTGGTGAAGCAAGGCTACTTTCTCGCGTTCGGCGTCAAGTTCATTTTGAATGAACTTGGCGATAGTAGCATGTTAGGCATCTCTATTGATAGCCTCTAGCATGACGCTAACAGTATGGATGCCCATGGTTGAACCCATCCGTTCAACCGCATCCCATTCGACATCGCTCAAATGGGAGTAGCCCGTCACGCGTAGCGTGAAAGCTTTGGTCATCATCATCATCCAACATATTCATGTTAGATGTGAACGTGGTCCTTGGACGGACTACGAAGTGCTACCATGTGTAACGGGGCACCCTGAAGCTTGTACTGATGACAGTGCAATCTACTTATTCTGATGACAGAATAAGGCGGTGCCTCGTAACTTCACGTACACTCGTACGTGCAGAGGAAGACGGTAAGAAGAAGCGAGTACTTGATTAAAGTAAAAAGTAGAACTGTATTTATCATAATTAATGTCTGTTAATAAACCCCCTGTTTATCCTCATCTAACTATGTCTGAATACAAATGTGTATATCAACTATCTGTTCACCACTCATTGCGTGCGTCTGTCGTGGCGCGTCTTCGTTGGTTGATATAATGGCCTATATCAACCAATTAGGAACTACTCGTAAGTGCTACAGAATATTTGTCCTTATGACAATGTTCTGAGAGTATAACTCTTTTAGTTATATTCTATTAACAATTTCTTATAAATTGCAATGTAACGATTCACCCCATTACACGACTGGTATACCGATCACCCACTGGTATCTCATTCATATCCTCCCGTTAATAGGCGAAAATTGGACGGACACCCTTGTGTTTCGGGCTCTTGGATCCGCGAGATCAATCTGGTGTACACACTTCCCTACAACGATGGAGCTGTGCCATGCAATCTGCTTTCGATTGGAGCAAGGTAACAAAGCTTCCGATTGGAGCGGCCACGTGTAGCTCGACCCAGGGGTTAGCGTCTGCATTAGCCGCGGATGATTTTTCTCTGCCGCATAAATAAACGAGACCCAACTAAAATTTGTTAAGAAGTGGTTGAGCAACCTTCCTTGCTTGAATTATACCCGGTTCTTTCTTCTTATGACCGGATGCATCCCTTCGATCCGATTTTGACATTTTTCGCGCTGGTCGGAGGGCTACTCGGCGCCTTTGGGAACGTGAGAACGTTCAATCCGTTCGCGCTCGCTGACAAATGGAGATTCTGCACCCGGCTGACCGGGCTATGACCCTGCTAACCTAAATGTGCGAGGTTTTGGGGAATTCAAGAAAATCCGATCCGACTGGATCGCATATTTCAAACGACAGCACCATAGGGGATAATGGGACGCGGTTTTGTCTAAGAAAACCATGTGCAAGCCCTCGAAATCCACAAGATGGTTCGACATGCGGCAAAATGGGGTTTTCAAACAAATAATTACCGTCCGACGTTGTTTCAATGGTTTTCCTACGACGGTAGGCGTGGCGGTGTTGATATTCCATTCACCCACGCTCGCGTTTCAAGACTATGGTACCTTTCTTAATATCTCATTTGTCACAGCAATTGATGGCGATTGAGGGCAATAACGAGGGAAAGGCAGTGATTTTCGTCAATGTCTATGCACCGACGGACAAGACGACCCTACATCTCTACTTTACCGGATTGCGGGACATTTTGATCCTCCAAGGGACTCATCTCTACGTGGTGGCGATTTCAACTCCACTCTCCACCCTGACCACGATCGCAGCTACCTTAGTAGTCTCACGAGCCATGACTCGCCGGCACTCGGGATTTTTCTGGAACATTGGTTACTTACTGACTCGAACCTTCGCGCTATGCCCCGATTACAGGCTTAAGAGGATATGCAATAGTATCCCACTAATTACCATACTAGTACGTGTACGGTGCCGGGACATGGCAGACCTTTTAGAAAGCTAGACCGTTATTACGCAAATGGTGCTGCTTGTTTCTGGGCACTGTCTATGAAACTTGACCAAATTGGGCTTCCTGGAGACCACAAAGGACCAAACTTTATCTCCGAGACCCCACAAACCCAGTAAGAATTAAATAGGAACCGAGATCGTTCTTCATCCGGCTGTATGCTCAGACGACTACGTCCGGACTCAATTGCTTCCGCTCTCGTCCACAATGAGCCACCCCGATTAGTCGGCACCAAAGGCAGCCACTCAATGGGTCTCCTCTAAAAACATGGTCGAGAGCTTTCTCCCCCGCCAACGCGAGGCGAAGAAAAGTCTAACAAATACGTATCGCAAAAAGATTCGACGACTCTATCGACGTTATCATCGTTAATAGGACGTACCTGCCTCTTCGACATCATGAGGGCGACCTGACATTCCTCTAATTAACCACTAGGTCGGATTTCAAAAACTAGAGAGGGCAATAGCGAACATTAAACGGAACTGGCTTCGATCCAAGCAGCGACGGCTTTTCGACAACATACCTGACGCAAAGGACAGATTACTAAGGAACTTCAATAGCGTAGTTTGTGCAAGTTCGGGGATATTGTCATCCCCCTTTCTTACCGGTGGCTGTCCAACCTTCCCGCGTCGAACACGACAAGGCAAACAAGGTCGCGAACGCGTGTAGCTCAATTTTTAACGGGTTGGCGGCAGCCGCCCCGCCGGCATCCAACACAGACTGGATTGTTTGAGGTCCCTCGGACGAACTCGACTGTCTGAAGATGACTACCAAATTTAATACGACGACGTTGACAACGGCCATCAAGTCTCTAAAAACAGGAAAGGCGTGCGGGTCCGATTGCCTCGGCAATGACTGGTAAATCCAGTACTTCAACCTTCTGAGATCGTTGCTTCTACAAATGTTTTCTCCGTGGTATAACGCCAACACATTTCCTGACTATTCTCTGGTGATGGACGTTACCTGTCTAAAAGGCAGGGGAAGGTAGTAATACGTTTAATTACCGCCTCTTATTACTGCTCAACTCGGATTACCAACTGATGGCGCGGATCATTGCGACTCAGTTACGAGGTACCCTCCACCGGCGAATCCAATCGCACCAACATGGATTTGTACCGACCAGGAGTATTCACTCGGTTACCGACTACTTCCACGCAGCCCAAGACGTCGCCTTCCACAAGGAAGAGTTCCGTACTGCGATAGTCCTATTTTTGAATTTTGCGAAAGCGTGTGATAAGTTGGACCGAACATATCTACTTGCGGCTCTTAAGCAACACGGATACCCTAGCCATTTTGTGGATGCCATCCAGTTCCTTTATCAAGAAACCTTTGGCTGCTTCCTAGCCAACGGGTCTCGCTCGTGCCGATTACCCGAGGTACACGCCAAGGATGCCCACTGGCTCCCTTCCTCTTCATCTTTGTTAGCCACTAAATCAAAAGCTTAATGACTGGACAGATTTTGAGGGCATCCTAATCTACAGTTTGAGCCGTTTTTAGCCGACCGCAAGGTGATGGTACAATAACGTATTTAAGCTACGTGTTGGCCCAAAAGGCGGTTGCACGCTTGGACCTGAAGACAAAAGACAACGTGTACTTGCCGTCATAAAATATCCTATGAGCTGCTTGAACAAAAAGCCGCATCTTGGTCCTGTCGTCCTCTTTCCGTGCTGGACTGCACTTAGATCGCGTAGAATAGACCGTCGGTGGATCAATTTGCCTATCTGGAACTCGCCGGAACGTTAGCTATCAACGTCCCTTCAACCTGAAATTGGTGATATGCCAACATAGCAGCTCTCTTCAAACCTGGTGTGGTGCACACCAGAAGTTGGGCGGACCTATAAGGTCGAAACGCGCTCCACGTAGACTTTTAACGCGGTCTGTAACGGGGTGAATCGTTACATAACAATTTATAAGAAATTGTTAATAGAATATAACTATAAGAGTTATATTCTCAGAATATTGTCATAAGGACAATATTCTGTAGCACTTCCAAGTAGTTCCTAATTGGTTGATATAGGCCATTATATCAACCAACGAAGACGCGCCACGACAGACGCACGCAATGAGTGGTGAGCAGATAACTGATTTACACATTTGTATTTAGACATAGTTAGATGAAGATAAATAGTGATTTATTGCAGACATTAACTATTATAAATACAGTTCTACTTTTTACTCTAACCAAGTACTCGCTTCTTCTTACCGTCTTCCTCTGCACGTACGAGTGTACGTGAAGTTACGAGGCACCGCCTTATTCTGTCATCAGAATAAGTAGCTTGTACTGTCACCAGTACAAGCTTCAGGGTGCCCCGTTACACCTGGTAGCACTTCGTAGTCCGTCCAAGGACCGCGTTCACACCCAACATGAATATGTTGGATGATGAAGATGACCAAAGCTTTCACGCTACGCGTGACGGCTACTCCCATTTGAGCGATGTCGAATGGGATGCGGTTGAACGAATGGGTTCGACCATGGGCATCCATGCTGTTAGCGTCATGCTAGAGGCTCTCAATAGAGATGCCCAACATGCTACTATCGCCAAGTTCATTCAAAATGAACTTGACGCAGAACGCGAGAAAGTAGCCTTGCTTCACCAACAAGGTTCTCAACAAGCAGAGTTGTTGAGAGAACAAGGTGCTCAACAGTTTGAACTGTTGAGACAGCAGCAGGCTGCTGCTGGCGGGTCGATGCACTCGCGTCGGCCCGAGACTTTGAAGATTGACATCTCAAAGTATAGGGGGTCGAAGAAGACTCCCTCTTGAGATGGTTCGTCGAATTGGATGACGCCATAAGGGCGCGTCGCATCGACGACGGGGATATGCAAGTTGCATTTGCCCAGTCAAATCTGGCAGGACGTGCCAAGACTTGGGCACTGGGGCTCAAGCTGCACGACCCATACGCGTTTGGGTCGTTGGAAGTCTTCAAGTCGCGGCTCAGACAAACGTTTGAACCGCCTAGAGCTGAGTTCAGAGCTCGAACCGAACTCTTGAAGCTCAAGCAGGGTAAGCGTGATGTGCACGCTTACGCTCAACATATACGACATCTCACGAGTTGTATAAGTTCCAATCCGGTGGATGAACACACGTTGGTTTCGGTGTTCATGCAGGGTCTTGCGGATGGTCCCGTCAAGACTCACCTGTTCCGGCTTGAACTAGATTCACTAGAACAAGCCATTTCAATTGCGGAGCAGGAAGACTTCAGTCTGAGACAGGCTCGCGCCAGCTCGACATCATATCGTCAACCGAGACGATGACAACGGAGGTCCAGAGCCGATGGAACTCTGCTATGTAGAGAGCGAGAAGGCTCGCTCTACAGGCTACAAGAAGTTGCAGAGATGCAACAGATGTCAAAAGACAGGACACTACGCTTACGAGTGTAGTGCCCCTCGTCCAGTGTCTCGCGACACTGGGCGTAGTGACCGTCCACCCATGAGAAAGGGGCAGGGACGAGGGTCCGCAGTTGGTGCAAAGACGCAACAACGGGATGGACCGTCAAAAAACGGACAGGATCAGTAGGTGCGGAGCACCCTACTGATCCAGCAACGTCAAGAGAATTTGTAGGCCTCTTGATGAAGGTTGCTCCCAACACACAGACATTGTGCGTTGCTGCTCTAGGTAATGAGGTCTCACTCATTACCTTGAAACTCGAAGTGACGAATAAGTTGTCCCTTCGAGCTCTAGTCGATTGTGGGGCGTCCAACAATTTTGTGCGACGCCAATCGCTAGAAGATGGTCACTTTAAATTCAGTGAATGTGACACACCTCCTACGAGGATGACGGTACGTCTTGCGACAGGCGCATCCGTAACCGTCATGAAGCGTATAGTGAAGATTCACTATACGCTAGAAGATACCCAATACGACGATGACTTTATCGTATTGGATTTGGATGACAAATTTGATGTCATCCTTGGAATACCGTGGCTCAGAAGGTACGAACCACGGGTAAACTGGCAACATCGAACAGTAACGATGCCTGCCGCTTGTTCATCAGATGGCCATCTGATGAACGTTTTGGAGCGTCCACAAGCGTGTGGATGTACTACGAGTGAGTGCGATGGCCTCACTTGTGGTACGGTCGTTAGTACGACTGCACAAAACCTTAGTGTACCAAACGGTTACACTTCGGAGCAAAGTTCCGGCGGCTGTGAGGAAACACAGGCTGCGCCGAAGGTCCACCACTCGAATAAGTCGGGTGGACTGGGACAAAGATGTATCCGTAGCGGGGAACATCTAGAAGAGAAACCATCGATCGCTCAGGTTAATCGAAACGATCATCATAGATCGACTGGAGAGTCTTTCGTAGAGGATCTCGCTGTTGCGCAACCACAGCTAGAGGAAGTTAAGGGAATAGGTCCCGATTTTACAAATACGGCGGAAATAAGTTCCCCGAAACCCGCGGGAATAAGTCCCCGGGAAGCCGAAGGAATAAATCCTTCGAGGCCTGAGGGAATAAGTCCCCAGGAAATGACAGAGACATTGAATGTCACAGTCAATAACGGATCAAGTGTAGGCGCTTATACACTTGATCTGATTGCGCCTCCGAAGTTGACTTCGGAGATCACTCAGTTGCCAACGCTCGAACATAAAAGGTTCTTGCGTGATCTGCGTAGTGGCAAAGTCAAGCAGATCTGCATACTCGTCGCTGACGACGAGTGTGTAGCCGACATAAGGTCAGCAACAGTGTTTACTGAGAACGAGAGAGTTCTCAGTAGTTCATCTATGGACGAGAGTGTCCTAGATGAAAAGACACGAATTGAGCGATATGAGTCCCAATCATGGGAATCGCTCAAGACAAATCCTCTCTATGAAGATTTGGTTGAATTCAAGGGTGTATTCCCTGAAACTGTTCCGTGCGAATTACCGAAGGATAAAGGTATTCGACACGAAGTCGAGCTTAAACCAGGCTCGAAGTACTGTGTCATGAAGCAGTGGCCACTGCCTCGTGAACAGTACTTGCGATCGACAAGTTCTTTGCCGATCGTTTAGCAGCGGGCCATGTGAGGGAATCAACTTCCCCACATAGCTCTCCGACCTTCTGTGTGCGAAAAGCAACAGGAGGGTGGCGGATAGTGCACGCGTTTAACAAATTGAACGCTGCAACGGTACCGGCTCAGACGCCGATACCGAGGAAGGACGTAATCATTGATGGTATGTCAAAGAGTACCATCTTTTCGTCCATGGATTTGATGGATGGCTTCTATCAAATCCTAATGCGGGAACGGGATATACCCTATACCGCAGTTAGCACGCCTAGCGGCATGCTCTGGGAATGGCTAGTAATGCCACAAGGGCTCAGTAATGCCCCTGCCACGTTCAACAGGTGTGTATCACATCTGTTGAGGCCAGTACGAGAATTCGCGCCGAGTTATTTCGATGACGTATTCATCCATAGTCGAGCTATGGATGGAAAGTCGGACGTTGAGGTTCACAAGTACCACGTCCGACAAGTTCTTACAATCATGCGAAAGCATCAATTGTATGCAAACCTCAAGAAGTGTATATTTGCAGCAAGCGAAATACCACTTCTTGGGTGCATCGTTGGTAAGAACGGTGTACGTCCTGATCCCGAAAAGATCAAGGCGATCACCGACTGGCCCGTGCCGGTCGATGTCAAAGGTCTTCGAAAATTCCTTGAGCTAGCGGCGTATTTGCATAAGTATTCACGCAATTACGCCGAGATGACTGTACACCTCTCTCGTTTGTTGAAAAAGAACGAGAGGTGGTTATGGAACGCTGAATGTCAACGCTCCTTTGAGGGTATCAAGCAGAGCTTGATACAATCCCCAGTCCTAGCAATAGCCGATCAGGACAGGCCATTTCATGTGGTCTGTGATGCCAGCGATTTCGCAATCGGCTGTGCATTAATGCAGTACGACCTTGAAGGCGTTGAACGCGTCGTCTGCTATCAGTCGCGTCAGCTGCAACCAGCTGAGCGGAACTATCCAGTGCATGACAAGGAACTCCTTGCCATGAAGTATGCACTCGCGAAGTTCAGAGTCTATCTATTAGGAGATAGACCCTTCGTTGTTTACACTGACCATGCGTCCTTACGCACGGCAGTGAACAGCCCGCACCTTTCACAACGAATGGCGCGGTGGTTGTCATTCTTTGCAGAATACAACTTTACGGTCGAGTACAAACCAGGACGACTTAATGTCGTCGCTGATGCACTCTCACGTCGTCCCGACTTTGAAACAGTCGCGAAACCCAACAGTGAGACAGTCACTGTTGCGGTTATGACGTCCTCAGTTCCATCTACAACGTTGTATGATGATGTGAGGCGGGCATACGCCCAAGATGGTGAGATAGTGAAGTTGTTGACACATCTCTCCCTACCATCTCGAGAATCGTTGAAACGATTGTCGTCTGCGTATCGATCTGCATCAGATCGATACACTACTCGTAACGGTTTACTGTACTATACAGCCGTTTCTGGTGACACACCACGTGTTGTCATTCCAGATGATACTGATCTGCGTTTGCGGATCATGTTCGAGTATCACGATGCTCCTATAGGAGGACATCGTGGCCGAGAGAAAACATATCTCACGGTAAGTCGAGACTTTTACTGGCCCCGCCAGTATCAGTTTGTGCGAAAGTATGTTCGCGCATGCGAAGTCTGCCAACGAGTGAAGTCAAGTCCTTCACTGCGTGCACCTTTACAGCCTCTACCGGTTCCGGCTGAGTGCTGGGAATCCATCTCAATGGATTTCGTCTTCGGGTTACCCAAAGACGCACGCGGGAATACGGGTATTCTCGTATTTGTTGACAGATTCAGCAAAATGGTACACCTTGTGGCTGTACCAGAGACAATCACGGCAAGTGGCTGTGCTTGTGTCTTTATTGACACCATCTTCCGACTTCATGGGTTGCCCCGTGAACTCGTATCAGACAGAGATCCACGATTTCACTGCTGATTTCTGGCGTTCCGTGTTCAAATCACTCGGAACGCGCTTGAAGATGTCAACATCTGATCATCCAGAGTCAGATGGTCAGACGGAACGTGCCAATCGTGTCCTTGAAGAGATACTTCGAGGATACGTACACTCCTTTAAGAGTTGGAGTGAGTTTTTGCCGATGGTAGAGTTTGCCATCAACAACTCGGTGCATGCGTCCACGACACATACACCGTTTTACGTGAATGGCTTGCGCCATCCGCGTGTACCCACCTTACTAGAGTGTAACTCTGGTTTAAGGGGGGAGGGACTCGCGCGAGCAAAAACCGATTTGGTTCACGCTCATCACGCTCTGACGAAGAAGTCATTGCGTTTGATGCCGATATCGATAACATCGATATCGAAGAAGATGATGCCAGTGAGAGTGCGGAAGCCCTCACTGAAGACAATGATCCCAGTGAGAGTGCGGAAGCCCTCACTGAAGAAAAGGTTGTTGTCGCTGCAGTGCGCTCACAGCACACTGAAGCTAACGAGTCATCAGATGAGTTCATACTGGCTCGTGATACGGTAGTCCGTTTTGTGCAAGACTCCATCGCCGAAGCGGTGGATAAGCAAAAGCAAAACGCTGACAAGAATGGAAGGGCAAACACTCTTTTATTTAATAAAGGTGACTTAGTCCTACTGTCTACGGTTAATCTACCAAAACATGTAGTGACTAACTTGGGTAGCAGTAAACTACTACCCAAGTACATCGGCCCATTTCGTGTATTGCACCGCCTAGGCAATGCATACACGATCGAGTTACCACGTAAGATGCGAACGCATCCCACGTTTTACGTTGGTCGGCTTAAGCCGTACCATCAGTACGCTGCTTCTTCCGATGAAGAACGCCCTTGCGCTCAAGCATCTCGCAGAGAGCCTTGTGCTCCCGATGGTGGGCATCAACAAGGGTCTGAAGAGCAGTTATCTCAGCCCGAGACCGATCAACAATCCCACGAGCTACCCTTAGCTCGTCACGAAGAGATGTCAGAGATCTCTCGTTCTCAAGCTGAGCAAAGGCAAACTCAGCTCGATGCTTCGAGGCAGTGTCCACCATCTGGAGACGCCTATTCCGCTCATGCTCGAGATCGTCGCGTAACCCTTGCGTTACGCGATCAAAGAAGCTCTCGGGAACACACCGATCCACATGATCGTGTGGAGAGCGTCTTTCCTCCTCCTCCACCTCCATTAGAGGACTCTCGCGGTGGCCAGCGCTATCTAGTTGAGCAGCTGTTGAACCACCGCGACGTGAACGGACGTCGGACGAGTTACCTCGTCCGGTGGCGCGGCTATCCCCCGTCCTGGGATTCTTGGGAG